GTGAAACAAACATGTAACATAAGACTGGTGGTGTGAAACAAACATGTAACATAAAACTGGTGGTGTGAAACAAACATGCAACATAAGACTGGTGGTGTGAAACAAACATGCAACATAAGACTGGTGGTGTAAAACAAACATGTAACACAAGACTGGTGGTGTGAAACAAACATGTAACATAAGACTGGTGGTGTGAAACAAACATGCAACATAAGACTGGTGGTGTGAAACAACATGCAACATAAGACTGGTGGTGTAAAACAAACATGTAACATAAGACTGGTGGTGTCAAACAAACATGTAACACAATACTGGTGGTGTGAAACAAACATGTAACATAAGACTGGTGGTGTAAAACAAACATGTAATACAAGACTGGTGGTGTGAAACAAACATGTAACATAAAACTGGTGGTGTGAAACAAACATGTAACAAAAGACTGGTGGTGTGAAACAAACAAACATGTAACATAAGACTGGTAGTGAGAAATAAACATGTAACATAAGACTAGTGGTGAGAAATAAACATGTAACACAAGACTGGTTGTGAGAAACAGGGTAATATGCTTTCGTGTACATGTAAGTCAAATACATGTAGTATACATTGTAGCTATAAACTTCAGTGTTCAAACACAAGGAATCATCCAGCTGCCTAGGTGCATGTCTTGTACATCTTAATAACATGTGTATTCATTCTGTGTCATCGATTAAATTTTGATTCACTTGTATGGATTAAAAAACACAGTTCATTGGACTATAAGAATCATCTAAACCATACTTCCTTAACTTCATGAATTTAATGTATGAAACGATTTCAACATATATTTATCAGTGTTCAAACTTGTGTGCATGGCTACAAGTACCAATAAAGCCAATGGACATTTCAATCGTAAAATGGACTACATTTTAAAGAAAAACTTTGAGCCCTGAAATATTAACAGAGCAAATATGTATGGTATCAGCAAACAAATACAATTAAATCTTTCAGTATCTCCATCACAGACACTTGGAACTGAGAGACAAGCAAGTGAATTCAATGAGTGGTCATACTACGAATAGTCACTGACATTTAGTTAGCACAATTAACTTACAGAAGATACACTTATTGTCTGTTTATTCTTAAAGCTACTGAAATCGATATCAGCCACAACCACTTGTGCACACTGTCTGGCTTCTTGTCTGAAATTCAATAATATTATGAAAGGATTATCGACCCAGATTAGAAAAACAAAACAGTTACTGTTAACTTTATTACAGCGAGTGCAAGATTTTACATACACCTACATTTAACTCCTGCACGTGGTAGGCAATTACCGAGCAACATCCCTGACACTTTCCTAGACACTCCAATGACCACTGTAGACGCAATAAAGTTACAACTTACTCCGTCCTAGATCATTCCCAAAGGGTGAATAATCTCCTTCTCAGTGTCTTTGTTTAAATGCTTTGACATAATAGCAATACTTGTTCAAAATCAGAAACTGTATTCAAAAATAAACTGTCCTCACGAGGATAATTTCATTATATGTTAGGGGCATTTTAAATACTTGTATCAACTAGGTTTATTATTTTGCAAAACGTTCAAAATAGAATTTATTAAATTAACGAGCATATGTATGCATGAAATAATAAAGTGTCTGATATCAACAATGAGTAAAACATGATTGTTTGATGAATGTTTGACTGGACGCTTACACTTTGTAATACTAGTAGTTGAACTTTATTGCGTCTACAACGGTCGCTGGATTGTCTATGAAAGTGGGGATGTTGCAAAGTCCCTCGATATTTACCTAATGGGTGCAAGAGATATCTTGCGTTCGCTGTTAAAAATAACTTTCACCAATCACACAATATTTGCAACTATGATGTACTGGTAGATATCGGGACTATCATAGATATAGATATTGGGACTATCATAGATATCAGAACTATCATAGATATCAGGACTATCATAGATATAGATATCGGGACTATCATAGATATCGGGACTATCATAGATATAGATATTGGGACTATCATAGATATCTGGACTATCATAGATATAGATATCGGGACTATCATAGATATAGATATTGGGACTATCATAGATATCAGGACTATCATAGATATAGATATCAGGACTATCATAGATATAGATATTGGGACTATCATAGATATCAGGACTATCATAGATATAGATATCGGGACTATCATAGATATCAGGACTATCATAGATATAGATATCGGGACTATCATAAATATAGATATCGGGACTATCATAGATATCGGGACTATCATAGATATAGATATTGGGTCTATCATAGATATCCGGACTATCATAGATATAGATATCGGGACTATCATAGATATCGGGACTATCATAGATATCGGGACTATCATAGATATAGATATCGGGACTATCATAGATATCCGGACTATCATAGATATCGGGACTATCATAGATATAGATATTGGGACTATCATAGATATCAGGACTATCATAGATATAGATATCGGGACTATCATAGATATCAGACTATCATAGATATTGGGACTATCATAGATATAGATATTGGGACTATCATAGAAATCAGACTATCATAGA